CACACACACACACACACACACACACACACACACACACACACATAGGGGCTCATCCTGCTACCCACCATCAAATCCAGTGACTCTGAGGATCTCTGTGACGTAAACAGCGATGACATTCAGGCCGCTGGCAGCTCCTTCGGCCAGGAATCGGATCACCATCTCAAAAAACTGGAGTGGTGTGCAAGGAGGGGGGAGACATGCTTTACATTTGTTATTACACAAGGCCACAATTAAGTAACATGGCATGCTGGCCAGACTGAAAACCATGCAGAGAGACGACAGAAGACAATGTGCAGGCAGTGTGATTCATAATGCTGACAGGAGCAGCTGGTACAAACTCACTGATCGCATTCAGCTGGGAACTTTAATAGCCCATATGAGCGGCATCTTAAGATATAAGATGTGCCGACTTGGACAAACAGCTGTGCGTGCTGGTGACAGCTGGACAGCACCCCTCTCTATTCCTGTGCACCCTCCACCCCCGACTCACAAAACGACACACACACAGAGTAAACAGACACAGTACTGCAAGGTCAAGGGGAGCCCAGCGAGTTGGACGCATATCTAATCTGCACCTGTTGCACTACACAAGGCCACAAACTTAAGAACTTCATGTCAGTGTCTGTGTAACTCGTAAACAGGTGTAATAACCTTCTATTGGTTTTGAGTTCCAAAACTTTTAAATAACTGTAAAATCGGCCTTATTCACTTATTACACTATTATACCAAAGATTTTGCTCTTTTACACTGAATTTACTGGGAACTATCAGCACAGCATCCAGATCTTTTGTTTAGCTTAAATCTGAAGTTGCAGAAACAGGCTTTATTTTCAGTTTGACTGCATGCGGGAAGTTAACTCACACATTCAGACACACTAGGTGATTCATGGTGAACTACTAATGCACAATAAGGTTTCCACACATGCACAAAAGCTCACAAGTAAAGTGAGCCCTTACATGCAAATACCACTGTACTGAAACACACAGCTTCTCTACTCTCAGCGCTATATGGTGTGACACGACATGACACGACATGGGGCTAAACTGAACCAAGTGAGTGGGATCTGTTTAAGGCACCATGTCAGGGCAGCACGATGGAAACACTCAGGAATGTTGCTTACCATGGCCAATGTACTGACGTTCTCCTGACCAAGCAATGACTCAAGAAACAACACTGCACTCTGAGGGAAAAGGGAGCCACCAGTAGTAGAAGGAGCAGGGAGGCGGAGATGAGTGTGTGGAAGAGTGCGAAGGGGTGAGGAGAAGACAGGAAAATGAGGGCAGAGAAGATGATGGGGGATCAGGAAGGGAGATTATCAAGTTGAAGAGCACATGGAGAGGAATGCGTGTGTGTAGAGGGTGAAGCGATGGGTGGAGAAAGGTTAAAGACAAAGGTTGGAGCTTTCAGAATTAGTAATCGGGTACAGTTAAGCACTGAGCGAGAATACTGAGAGAATAGTGAAGTTAGACCACCGCATTTTAACAATTCAAATC